AAGAATCATGTGCGGATTCATTTGAATTTTAAGGTTTGTTGTTTCCTGTTAGCTTTACTATACAATGCGATTTATAATTTTGTTTGTCGCAATTTCGCAGCGATACAAGTGCAAGTGGGAAGGTTGTGGCTATGCTTCCGAGCAACGATTTACAGTGATAAGTACGCTAGTTAAGCTGGATGAAGTATAGGTTTCATGTTTGAACTAACTTTTCGTTTTTCTAGCGCATATACGAGTAGTCCATTTTAAAATTCCGCGTACCAAGAAGAAGCAGATCGAGATGAACATTACACTTGATTCAGTGCAGAATCCGTATGATTATCTGGAGGTTTGCAGAGAAGATATTTGCATTTAAGTGCCTTGAAGAAGTGGAGAGATTGCTTGGAATTTTGAAAGCAGTACAAACTGTAGTCACAGCCAATAATCTTTTATTTATCTTTGCCACAAATCTTTTCAGGTAGAAAGACTTTTCTGGTCAGCTGTGATCAGTGTTGATTATTTGTGAAATCTCTCATGAGATTCATTTTTTACATGCGATACTTTTGTTAGTCTCTACTGTGAGACGTATACTCCTTTTGATGCAATAAAATTTATTGATAAACTGATTGTTGAACTTTTTTTGTTATTAATAAAAATAGTCTGTGCTAGAACAGGTAGGCACAGAAACTGATATGATAAAGACAGTGACCTGTTAGGCGGCTAGGGCCAGTGAGGACAAAAGAGGATGCATGGGACAAGGGCAGACGTTTTCCAGCTTTGTAGGAAGGCGATTAGGGGAACTCGGCAAAGATGACAGGGCCCAAATTAGCTGAAATTAGATTGTGTGGCAGATAGAAAGCGATGAACGGGACAGATTGGCGGGCACTGTGTGGGCTGTAGGCCACCGCGGGTGCTGTATTTTCATTTGCAATTCGCCTCGGCCAGCTAATCCGCTATTTACCACCATTTGAGCAGACGATTACAAATCAGTAATCACCTTGTGCTCTTATTTCGGCTGCTGCTACTGTTGGAGAACAATATGCAAAGCCTGTCAACGGCTGCGGCTGCTAATTTACTGGGTCGCCTTTTGGTCTGCCTGCTTGCTCACTTAATCTCCTCTTGGTCTTTATTTGATCGCAGGACCTTAGCCTCAGCCCCTGCTCTGCTTGCCTTTCTTTTTTCTTCTGTCCTGTTTGTCTCTCCCTCTAATCTTCTCTCCCGTTTGTTTCCCTCCCCTCTGTTTGACTAATTTGTCATTTGGAACTTTATTAGCGTTGGCCTTTTCAGGCGGCGACGGTAGCTACTCTACTGCTTCGGCGGTCCTCATTTGGATTTGCCCAGCCCACCACCGCCGTTTTTACAGTGTGTGTGTGTGTGTTCGACTGAGGCACTTCAGTGGTAAGTAGACAAGTCTATTAGCTGTCTCATTCACTGATACCTCTATATATAAATCGATTGACAAATTCATCGAACTGGTCAGTTGAACGCTGTTGAGTTCGCCGACTAAACATGACTTCTTCTACCGTCGTACCCATCGCCAACAGTGCTTTACCGGAGACTATTCGGAACATGACGCCAAAAGGTGTAAACTTGCCGTCGTCTTCTCCAACAAAATCATCCTCTTTTACAATAGACCAGATTCTGATGCCCAGTCGTAAAGTACACTCAGAGTTAAATTCGAAAGCCGCAACTTCATATGCCGGTCACCAGTTGTGCTACACGCCCTACCATCCACTATTTTTCAACTTTCTCTCACACTCTTCCTCGAGTGCTTTTCCCCTACATTCGTCTTCAAAACTGGTAGATCTTGCTGAACCAAAGACTAGTTCAACCGTCATCTTTGACGTTCTCGGAAACAATGGCGGTGGTCTGGTGGCTAGTAAGCTTTCACACCAAAGTGATTATCAACGCGCGTCAAGCAGTTTGTACACCCGGGCCCATCCGTATCAACGACCGACCTCTTGCTCATCCCCGCCATCCTATTCAAAAGGTTCATACTCACAGTACCATTCATCATCATCATCATCACCATCATTACCTTCGCCAGCCAAACTTGTCGAACTTCGTCAGCTTTACTGTAAGGAAGCTATTCTGGCGTCGATTGGCTTTGAGACCAGCACCGGTCGACCATCGCTCCTTAGCGGCTCCTCGTATTTGACCGGCAGTGGGAGTTTGTTTTACAAACGTAAACGTCGCCACCGAACCATCTTCACTGAAGAACAGCTAGAACAGTTGGAGGTGGCTTTTGAGAAGACACACTACCCTGATGTGCTACTGCGTGAAGAGCTGGCCGAACAAGTCGGTCTCAAGGAGGAACGCATCGAGGTAAATGAACAGCTTTGTTTGCTCCTGCTAATGACAGCTCAGAGCACAAGTTTTGCTATTGGCACTGGTTGATTAACATTTTGATTGCTTTTGTGTTAACCCGTTTAGGTTTGGTTCAAGAACCGCAGAGCCAAATGGCGGAAACAGCAACGAATGGACGCTGGTCTGGAGGACATTGACGACAAGTGTCACTTCTAAATCAAGCTTTTGTTCACTAGCTATTGTTACGCTTGTTTTCTGCCTGTACATATTTGTTACCGTTTTAAGCAAATAAACTCCCAGTTTTGTGTGTGTGCGTTAAACTCTCTAGTCTAAACTTGTAATTTGCCATCAACCATATGGTGGTGGTGACAACTGCTTGACTCTTCTGGTCAAGTTGGTTGTTGTCCCCCCAATGCCTTTTGTTCGGGACCTCTTCAAATTGACCAATTCGGCAATCAATTTGTTTATTGTTGATTGCTATCTACCAAACTCGATGACAGGCTGCTGCTGGCTCTAGTACCCCTCAACAAGCTCTACCTCTCAGTGTGTGTGTGGCAAGTGACACTCGAGTGCTCAATGGTCAGTTGTGACAATACGGTCACGGGGGACACACCGGTGGCCACTGCTGACTTTGTAATCGATCCCCGCAATTTTCATTGTGCGAATCGCCACCACAAGCAAGCCCACCGGCGTCGGGTGCCTCTGCTTGCCTCTCTTGAAGGGGAGAAGACCGGGCAGTCGGTGTGTAAGCAGATGCTTCCCCAGTCTTGAACTACCTTGGCCTTTCACCCTCCCAGGTAGGCCCACCGGCAGTGATTATTCCTTTGCACTACTGCTTGTTGTTGCGCCCCTAATTGGCTGCGCACTTTTTCAGTGTATTAGCGGCATTAAAGAGCTACCGGTGGGTTGCTGCATTCACGCGGCCGCACGCTAAATCCGCGCACAATTACGCTCGATTAGGCGGTAATGGTGCAAAGTGAGGTGGCCACTGGCCACAGTGTCCCACAGACGCAGAGTCCACGCACTTTTATAGTGGGCTTTAGTCTGATGATCAAGAACAATTTCAGTGGCCCTTGTTCCCAAGTTTAACACTGCACTAAGCCTTCCAGCTATCGTGCAGCGGTGCATGCAAATCTTATTTGTTCCCGATTGCCTGTTTGTGAGTTTGACCATTTTTCCACTGTCTTGTAAATAGACTCGTTTTAATTATCCGTCGATAGAGGAAGTGTGTTCGCTTGACAGCCGCCCTAGCTGGAGTGGTGAACAGCGGTGGTGGGCTTGTTGGGACAATAGGGATCCACTGCAAGATGAATGGAAGGGATAATCGGCATTGGTAATCCACTGCTGCCGCACACACACATATTGCATTGCCGACCAATTGTCCTTGCAGTGTGCAAGAGCCTCTTTCAGATACAAATGCGCGAATCATGTTCACCGAGAGAAACCTCTATGTGCCTTAGTCACAGAGAGGCCACACATTGATGCTCCATTCAAGTTCAGCTTGCTCGGCTGCTGCTTCTGCTTGCCCTTTTTCACTTTGATTCTTTCGATTTGCCATTTGATCATTTGGTTTTGACATGCTCGAGTAGGCTTGATGTCGGCTGCACACTGCTGCGATGCGACGGCGAGAGAAGATTACTGCTGAAAGCGATTAGCAATTTGGCTGCGATGCTGTTTCCAAAGATGATTAAAGTGTCTCACTGACTGCTCTTTTAGAGGATTATTTTTTGCAAAAATGTAGACTTGACTCATTTTCCCTCATGAGAATAACCAACTGATAAAGTAACCTTTGGTTCTAAATGTAACATAGCATATGAACATTCAATTCGAATTCTAATTTGGCGTTTTTAATTGTTTAATGACTAGACTCAAACAGTGTCGCAGGCAAAACATAAAAGACTGCGTAATTATTCTTTTTGTCTCATTTTCAAAAGATATTTTTTCAAATGAAAACTGGAAAACCAAGCTTGAGCAAGTCGGAGCGATACCCTTTAAGTAGTTTGAACTCCCAGAATATGACTACTAACAACCGTCAGCATCAAAGCACTAGCTACCAGATTCCGCAGAAAATAACGGAAAACACTTGCATCAAACATCCTTTCAGCTCAACAGAAGTCAGTGATATTCAAGCATCTTTGGATACTCAAAAAACGATTGAAAATGTAATAAAACAACTTCTATCGTATGGGTTCTCACTTTGCTCTGAACATAGACTTTGGCGTGATGTTAACGATCTAAAGAGTGTGCGAGATGGGATCTATGCTTCTCTTCGATACGAAACCAGCTTTGAAAATTCTGATTTAGACAAGAAAGCTTACCTGTGTGAATTCACGGAGCATTCACGAAGAAACTTCCAGAAGTCATGCAACCAGCTATCGCATTGGAAAAACATTTTGGCTTTGTTTAGAAGTGACCATGCTAAGCCATTTTGTCCTTTGAGTTTAATTCTCAATGCGCATTTTACAGCGCTTGAATCGATTTGCAATGCTCTCATTGAGACGGCCAATTGTGCTTCTCCAATCAACTCTAATTGCTCCTTGCTCTACTCGCTATACTGTAAGTAATCTGCTTCTGTTTATTTATTTGAGCCAACCTTATACCTTAACTCAGCTATAGCAGTGATTCATTTTTGCAATGCTTTTGAAAGCTTTGCCCATTTGAATGGTAAAGAAGTGGAGAAGAACAATGATGTGCATCAAGGTAAAACTCAAACTAGTATTTTGCAAAAGTATGCTCGAATCTTTAACTTTCCAAACTGGGTCGTAACTTGTCGAAACAATCTTGCACATTCATCCTCGCGTCCTCCTAAGCTAAGTTTTCTTCATATGACGATAACTTATGCGCTTAAATCTTTGGATCGACATTTTTGGTCTCCATTGCTTTTGGAAGCTTCCCGAGTGGTGAACGATGCCTACAGTTTCAACGGATTGAAAAGCAATTCAGCAAACAATCTCTGCCGTCAGTGCGATTGGCAAAAGAAGTTTCCCTATGGTTACATTCTGTGGACCTTGCCGCCTTGGCCGCCTGCGAGGATGAAAGCTGGACCAATCTCAAGTTTGCCTCCGTTCAAACAGTGGCAATGTAGCTCTATTCCGAATGACAGAAAAATTCAAGGTCTAAAACGTCCGTTGAATTTATCAACTAGCCCGACTCCTTCAAAGCGACAAAAGATTTCCAGTTTTTATCGCTGAAGAAACTATGAATTTCAGGCATTCTACTAGCTTGTTTTNCGACTCCTTCAAAGCGACAAAAGATTTCCAGTTTTTATCGCTGAAGAAACAATGAATTTCAGGCATTCTACTAGCTTGTTTCAAAATAATTTTTAAAGATTTTATAATACTAGTACTAACTGATTGTTTAACTTTCGCCATCTATTCTTATACCTTTATTGTGTATTTATCATTCAAACATGCAAATACTAATTTAATTGCAATTTTATTTGGCAGAATTTAGCATCAAATTAATTAAAAAAGCTTTTTATTGAGCGCGACAAAATAAAAAAATTTGAACCTGTGTTACGTCTTATTTTGATGGCTCTTGCAATGTGGTCGCTGTGGTGTTTACATTTTTGTCAGAGAACTTTGCGTTCCAACGTGTTTCTGGTTCTAGCAAAAAACCATACTTCCAATGTTTTTATCTCAAATCATCAGTTAGCGCTTCATTGAACAATGCCGAAATCATGCAAACTTGATAAAGAGATTGAGTGGATTGAGGAACCAATCACCGATTCGCCGCAAAGAAATACACCGCAATTGATTCGTGAAGAGTTTAATCAAATAAAGTATGATCTTCAAAAGAACAGAGGATATGGCAGAGGGTGGCAAGTGCCTTTGTCACGACTGCCCATCGAAGAGAGACAAGCGGAAGAGATTCGCAGAAAAAAACGCGATTTGTTTTTAAAAATGCTGTTTACAGCTCGAACTACCATGACTCCTTGGATTGATGTTGAGGACGTTAAAGTGGTTCGCAACGAAATTTACAATTCTATTATCTTCAAAAAGACCGAGTTTGCAAGAAACTCAAAATACAGCAAAAATGTCAGTATTAAGGCTTCTGAAACTGACAAGCAAGTTGAAATCAACTCAATTAACAGCCTCATCTTTGCCCGTAACAAATTGGCCGCTTGGAAATGCCGATGTCGTAATATCGCTCGATCGCAAGTTTTAATGTCTCATCTAATTTCACTGGAGTCAATCTTGAATGTACTCATTGAGGAGTTTAACTTTGGCAAACGATCAGACAGATCGAATGGATTCGTTGACTTAAATCGCTCAATGCTAGATTCACTTTATTGTTAGTTTTTTATATAAACTTTTCTGCGAACTAATTATTTTTTTCGTTTCTTTTTATAGGCATCAGTGTGATCAATTTTTGTAATGCTTTGACCAGCTATCCTTCAGAGCACAACATTGACATTCCGATGAATAATGTTGCTATACTGTTTGAGTGTCCCTTGTGGATTATCCAGTGTCGCCACTCACTGTCACATTCAAGCGGAACTCGTCCAAATGTCAGCATTCTCAAAGAAGCCATTGCCTTTGCACTGGAATGGATGGATCGCTTCTTTTTGTCCAAAGCTATGTCTGCCAGTGGTGTGGAAGAAAACATTTCCTCAGTGGGTCCTAAGAAAAGCAAAGTTTCGAAAGCAAAAACGAGAGCAAGTACTTCAAAAGCCGAACAAATGCACTCTTCGGGACATTCGATAGTTGACACAAACTCAACGCTTAACTTTGGTCCTCCAACACCGACGTCTGCTCGTAGCCAGATTCACCATGAGACTTGTCTTCTTCTTTTTACAAGTTGCCCTAACAATCGCGCTGATATAAAAAAGAGCCTCGAAAAGTATATGCTTCTTAGCCCGAATGAGTTTATACGCTCCTTCTCAGAGATTCTCACTTTTGGTGTACCACTTCACGAGAAGATAATTGTGGGTGATTTTACACTACCGGCACTTCTTCTTCGACGTTCCAGTCGCATTTTCGGCTTAATTTTCACCACACTGCCTGCAGATCAGATGCTTATTCTACTACTTAATCTGCTCATTGATCTTATGTTCTTTACTGAATCAAAGTGCAAGTTTAAGGCTGCCAGACACTCTGATTTTGAGTGCAACCAACGAGCTTTGCACTCAAGTCGCTGTTGGATGATGGCCATCATGGAGGCGCTTACCACTGGCATTGATTCTGATGGTGTGCCGAAAAGAAGTAACATTTTCGAAAAGGCGTTTGACTTTTTTGGTGATCTCGCTGCAGTGAAAAGTCGCCACACCTTTGACTGGGTGCGAATTCTCAACCGATTTTGTCATCTAGAAGGCCACGCCAAGTCAGTGGAGCTTGCCAAGCAACTCTACTATTTGATTGATCGAGATGTGATAACAGAAGAAAAGTTCCAACAGATAGTAAACTTGATCAAAGTTAAAACTAGCGCCCTAAAATTAAGAAGCACTGCGCAACTGAATGCTGACATAAAGACAATCGACCACCTGAAGAAAGCTTGTTTGGCCAAAAATGTGCAGCCACCAGTTAATCCACTGATTTGGGACTTTCCGATTGGAGGCAGCATTAAGGGTAAAGCTCTGAACGATCAACAAATGAATGACACAATTACTGTTGAATGATAAGTTTAACTGTGAAATGCCTTGTAAACTCATAAAATACTTTTGTATAATATAAAACGTTTCATTTCCTAAAAACCTTATCATTTTTATCTTGATCTTGAACGACAGCTTTGTTGAGTGCTGTTCTAGAACGTGTTTATCCAGATCCTCTTGCTTGATGAATATTGACAGCGGTGGCAGTGAAAGTTTGCACGAACAGCGTTGTTCGGCGCTTCCGAATTACTATCACCGAGATCAATCAGCTCAACGTTTTGTATCTCGCGAACGGAACGTTACGTATCTCCACTTGCTGTCCAGGTAGGGCCTTTGATTCTTTATCACAAAAGCGAGAAGGATTTACTTTTACAGCGCTACAGAGGACAGCACTGTCTAGCACAGCGAAATTGATTTTTTTGTGTGTTTGCAAAAAGATTGTCAAACTCGACGCCATTGTTTGAAATGTTTTGCGAAGCATTAAGGTTAATTGAAGAAATGCTTTTGGATTCTGGTTCATTGTGTTTTTTTAAAAGCAGCTCCGGTTATACGAAACGCAAGAGCGAAACGTTATCGTTTTAGTTGAGCTTTAAGTGCAATGCGCAAAAAGTTGCGGCGCAACTTTCTCTTTCTCGAATTCTTTTTTTCAATTTCGGGTAAAGTCCAGCTCATCACCAGCTCATTACAATTTTATTTTTGCAATTTTACAATTACAGTATTTTTTTGTAACATATAATTTACTTTCTTCATGAATCAAACTTAATGCCTGAAATGGGTAAAACTCTCAAAGAAATACTGCTCTCAGTTGGCGCAGAGACATCGCTCAACAGCCTACAAACTGACAGACGATCAAGAGTCACTAAGGCCTCTTTCAATTCCGGAGATGATGATTACGATGACCCTGATGAACTTTGCCTCAAGTGGAACGCTCACAGTGGAACTTTTACTGAAAGTAGATCGTCCAAACGAACGTCTCTCAAGTCATTTTCTCGGCCTGAAAAATCTTGCTTTGAAAGGTCTCCTGAGCATCAAAAAGCGTCTCCATCCTTTTCTGATGAACGAATCACAGGAGCATTGGGCGACCGATATCCTCACTCTATTGACACCGCCTTTTTCACAGTCATCGATGACCATCGAGGGGAACCGTGCCGTCCACCGAGGCCAGAGTTCTACAACAGTCCACCGCAGAGTCTTTCTCTGCGTTGTGATGTCTTTATAGCAAATACTGGCGAAATGTCTTGGGCTCATATTCGTCCAGGCAGTCCAACGATTGAAGCCCACAAAAAGTCCTCATTGACTGAGAATGAGAGTGAAGAACTGTGGATCACTTTTCAGGATGTTAATAATCTGCCACTTATTCAACAGCAAGTTCCCATCCCCAATGTTTTTCAAGCAGTAGCCGGTCACAAGGGTCGTCGTGAAATACTTCTGAAAATTACTCGACAACGTTTTCGATACTGGTCTCAGCGTGGTGATGACAGTAATGAAATTTTAATCTGCTGCTTAAGTGAAGCTTTGAAGTTGGTTATTATTGGCGGTGACAAGAAAACTGATGTGGACGCCCTGAAAGAATGGCTCACCAAAGAATTTCTCATTAACGGAGAAAACCAACGTGAAAGGGTTACAACTGGCAACTATCAGCCTACTGAGGCGGAAATGGTGCCTTCTCTGGGTCAGTTGTACAGTCTGGTCGGATGTACACCGGTGAAGTACTACCTCAAAAGATCGGTTGAGCTTGAGCCGATCACGGACATTCTGTTCAATTTTCGGCAAATGATCGCCAAGGCTGCTCACTTTTTACTCAGCCAGCAGACCACTCCACAGCAGGTTGACCTCCTTAAAAGTGCCATTGAAGTCTTTCAATACATGCTCGGCAAGTTCATCCGAGAGCACTCTCTTGACTGGTTCGACTACACCATTAAAGAAGTATCAACTGGCAAAGAGGAGACAAAGCAAAGCACTCGTTCCGGTGAGCAAACATCAAAATCTATTTCCGTGTTCAACTCTAAAACAGGCCGATGGCTGGAGTTTCCGAGTTCTCAGTTCATCTACCAATATGTGAGTGGCACTTTTTTGGAGTCTAAAACTGTTACATTTAAACTAATGTAATTTTTACTTTAAACAGCATGGAACAGCTTTCCTGTTCACGTACAGCGAAGACCAGAGCTACCCGATTCACGTTAACAACTTCCGATACTATAAAGCAACCAACTTTGGAAAACGGTACTCATTCAGAGTTCAACTGGATGAGACGTGTGCTTTTCTTCACTTTGAGTTCTCTTGCAAGTTCATCTTCAAGAGGTTGATGAACCAGTTCAACGATTGGCTGGGAACCATCCATTGCAATGTCCCTTTGGACGAGTCCATGTTGCCTTCTCAGCTGATCGTAGGCAAACTGATCGGCGGCAAGGGGCCAGTCTTTGGGACCACGAAGAGATGCCTTCATGATGCCGACACTCTCAAAATGATCAGCGATGATTGCTCCAAAATGGCCAGGCAGATTGTGGACGCCGTGGCTATTCGCTTGGTGGTGGATAATATCGACGACGAGTGTTTGATTGCTGAGTATAAGAAACTGAAAGCATCATTCATCGGCCCAAAAAAGATTACGAAATTGACTGCGCAAGATCTTCAGTGGCGCTATGGCCGATTCGACTCTCCAAACTGAGGAGCATATTAACCATTGTTTTATTTTTGAAAGGTATTTTGTCTGAATACCAACTAATTGTTATCCGATAAAAAACTAAAACGAATTATTTTTTGTGCAACAATATTTATAGACACAATACATATAACTTTCATTTTTAAGTTTTTAAATTATTAAAAGATTTGGTGAGTTAGATTTGGCATAAGATAAAGTGTGAAGTTGTGAAGTACCATGTCAAGGCAAAAACCGTATCTTGCCGATGCTTTGAAAGCTGAAGAACTGGGCTTCCAGACGACCAATGTGAACTTGGCCACGCTGAATCCTTTGCTCAAGTGCAATCTGTACATCAGGCTGACTGATGAAGCCTTTCACGGGGTGAAGGTTTACAAAGCTCAAGACCTGAATGGTGTTGCAGACAGTAGGCACATTCTGGCCATCCTCCTCAACTTTGGCAAAAGGCAGCTGTACTTGAAAGCCACCCGTTACAGTGCAATAATCAACGCAATGAAACCCAATGATGCCCAGCTTCTCTTCTGCAACACTTCTGCTGGCCTGAGCAAGTGTTTTCTGCTGCTCGGTCAAAGTGACATTGACTACGTCATTCTCACAAAGTACCACCTGACGATGGCCGTTTTTGGTGCGCGTCTCCGTCTGGCCTTTCTGCTGAGTCCGTCAAATGGTGCCAGTCAAAAGTCCGTCGATCTCTACACCCACATCTGGCTGGCAGCTGTCAACCGAGTGGAGATTGAAAAAAGTACCGGCAGGACTACAATCGTCGGACTTTGCAGCAGCAAGCGTCCCATTTATCATCGAAACGGCCTGAAGGGGGAAATGTCGATTCTCCACAAGAACAATCCGCTCACTTCGTTGGCTTTAACCTTCGACCTGGCGCAGATCTACAAGCGAGTCGCCTGTGAAGCTGCTCTGCACATAAACGGCAGAGTGAGCGGCAACGCCAATGTAGGCCGATACTTTCTCGCTTTGAGTCAGTATGAAAACTTTGTGTTTGAGAATGGTCTTATCACTCGGTGGAACGATCCAGGTGGCACCAACTGGCACTGGCAATGGCCCAAGATGAAGGTCTACTTTTCATCGCTGTATGAGTGGCGAGAAGTGAAAAGTATTGACTTTCACCCTCTCAGGACTCACAAAGGCTTTGAAATTCAGTAGGTTTTTAATTTTATTGCTTGATTACTATTAGTAACAAATCTATTTTCCAGTTACGTCGATTCTGGAACTAACTACTTGCCCCCGTACATGATGAGACCGGGCCAGGTGAGGAACAGAGTGACCAGCAATGTGCCTTTTGAAGAACTGTCAGGCATAACGGTCATCTGTCCTGAAGATATTCACTTCTTCAAGTTCACCAAGCTGCCCGAGTACTACTCGATTACAATCTACATTTACAAAATGCCCGAGAACTTTATTCATGTCGAAACGCCAAATGCGGAGGAGTTTGAAAACCTGCAAAAAATGTTTTGTTCATGGCTTGGCCCTGCTGTTAGGAGCATCGATTTTAGCAAGGGTCTCATCGCAAGCATGCTAAACTCAAAGCGGTCTCCTGAACAGGTCAAAATTGACAACGGCCTGTTGAACGGACTGATGCATAGCTCCGCTCGTGGCTCAGCCAGTGCTAAAGTTGAGCAGATGATGCAATTTCCCAGCTATGGCACCACGTGCAATCGAATGAACCTTGGCGAGCTGAAGAACTACCAGGAGACCTGTTCGCTGATCGTCAGTGACATCAAGCAGACAATGCAACAGGCGCTCACTCGCCTGGCAATGGTCCTGGTAGAGAATGAAGCAGACAAGTGGTCGTCTGACATTCAAGTGACCAGAGACCGTTCTGGAAGTCTCGTTGCCTGGAAGAAATTTTACCGCTTGGGCCTGAAGGCAATGCAGCACTTTTGTCCTCAAGCTCCTCGTTACTGGTCGGTCATTCTTCGCAAAAGGACAACGACTTCTACAGCCCAGGAGGGACAAAATACCGGAGACAGAGAGTTTCGATCAATGAAGCCTCAATATCGGTTTCAATTTAGTGATCACAATGCTCCTTTTTAAGCAGCAATTGACACCTGCATTTTGGAACAATTAAATGTTTCAGTTTGAAACAAAATGTCTGGCTACTGTACTGGTTTAAAAATTTAATTTAGTGAAATGAGTACTACTTCAACTGAGTCATCTTTAGTAAGTTTTTTACTGCCTGTTGTTTACGGCCTATCACTCAACTGTAACTTAAAGTTCAGACGTCATTTGGCGATTTTTATCAAAGATAAATTCGGCTCCTAGTGTTGGCAACGATTGCTGAAGGCAAACAAACCTGACCATGTTTGGAAACAAAACATATCTGAAAAGTGAGAGTTCGCCCTTGAAGAGCATACAGAAAAGTACATTACCAGCTGCAAAAAGTAAAAAAATCTAATCTAATCAGGTAAAGTGTGCCGAAACCCAAACTTATCAACAGTGACTGCCTTGTTTGGAAGTCTGGAAACTGTATCTTCAGGCTAGCTACTGTGCAATATCTAAATCTGTTTTGAATAGCTAACTTTAGCCAACTTTAGCAAAAATCGTTTTGATTTTGTTTAAACTAATGTTAATACAATCCACTTGATTCGTTAAGTGCATTGAACACTTAAACTTATTAACGCCAAAAGTGCTACTTTTGGAAAAACTTGCCTGGAGAAAGAGAGTTTGAAACCTGTTGTCGTACACTGTTTGCTTTACGGCCATATCGCACAATCTAATCTGCAAAAAATGGCAAACTACCTCGAGGGGAATCACACATTTTTTCACAACTTGTGACACTTTTTTCTGCTGCTCGTATCTTTGAATTTTTATATAAACACGAGAAAGTTCAAGAGGTGCAATATCTTTACTTTTGTTGAAACAGTAAAAACATTCAGCAGTTGCACCACTTTAATTGCTTGAACAAAAAATAAAAAATGTCTTGGAACATTGAAACTATTCCCTTGAAACTGAAATCCCCAGTTCCTAGGTACTTTAACTTTTTATCATTTAAAGTTAATCTAAAACTGTTTTTTTCTTCTAGTGACATTGAGATTGCCAGCGAACAAAAACCCAAGCCAATCAGTAAAGTGGCAGCCGAAATTGGCTTGACCGAAGATGAATATGAGCCATATGGCCGCTACAAAGCCAAGATCAGTCGACCGATTCCAAAATCGACTGATAACTTTGGAAAGTACGTGTACGTTTGCGGAATTACGCCCACTCCTCTAGGTAAACTACCACTTGATGAACGTAAACAAAGTCGTTTGTCAAAATGATTTCATAATTTTTGTTTTACTTTTTGTAAAGGTGAAGGCAAATCAACCACTGTCATTGGTTTGGCCCAAGCTTTTGGTGCACACCTCAAAAAACCCTCTATTGTCTGCATTCGCCAGCCCTCACAGGGACCGACTTTTGGAATAAAAGGTATACGACTATTTCATTCAAATAGGAGTACAGGGATTTCAGTCCTAATTAGCATTAAGTAAAATTGTTTCGCCAATAAATGAAATGACTTATAATTATAATCGATATTAAAGGTGGTGCTGCTGGTGGTGGCTACAGTCAGGTAAACTTTATAATCTGCTCATCAGTAAGTTCAATGGTTCATCCTTTCTTTTTTTAATTTTCTCAGGTCATTCCCATGGATGAGTTCAACTTGCACTTGACCGGTGACATTCACGCCATTTCCGCTGCCAACAATCTCATTGCTGCTGCCATTGATGCGCGAATCTTCCACGAGTCGACCCAGTCAGACACGGCCCTGTACAATCGTCTGGTGCCAGCACAGCCTCTGAAACCGCGGAAGTTCAGTCGAATTCAGCTGCGTCGACTGGAGAAACTGGGCATTCCCACTGACTCTGACCCGTCTTCGCTGACTGAGCAACAGAAGAGTGAGTTTGCCCGACTGAACATCGACCCTGAGACCATCATCTGGCACCGAGTGGTGGACATCAATGATCGCTACCTGCGAAAGATCACCATCGGTCAGGCGCCCACTGAGAAGGGAATTGAAAGAAAGACTGGCTTTGATATATCGGTGGCCTCTGAACTGATGGCAGTGCTCTCCCTTGCCAATGACCTCGCCGATGCTAAGCAGATGATTGGCAAGATTGTGGTTGCCTTCTCCAAGCACACTCCGCCGCGTCCAGTTACCTGCGACGATCTAGGTCTCACCGGCGCCATCACTGCTCTTCTGAAGGACGCAATCAAGCCGACACTTATTCAAACACTCGAAGGAACCCCTATCTTTGTCCACTGTGGCCCCTTTGCAAACATTGCCCACGGCAGCAGCTCGGCCATTGCCGACAAGATTGCCCTTGATTTGGTAGGCAGAGATGGAATTGTCCTTACCGAGGGCGGATTTGGCAGTGATATTGGACTGGAGAAAGCAATCAACATCAAGTGTCGAGCCACTGGCCTAAAACCAGACGCAGCCGTCATTGTGGCCACTGTCCGGGCTCTGAAGTGCCACGGTGGAGGACCACCAGTCACACCTGGTGCAGTGCTCGCTAAAGAGTACAAAACAGAAAACCTAGAACTGCTTGCCAAAGGCCTGGTGAATCTGAAGACGCACATCGAGAACATAACGCAGCACTTTGGACTGCCCGTTGTCGTCTCGGTGAATCGTTTCGCCACTGACACTAATGCCGAACTGGAGCTCGTACGCTCTAGCGCCAAACAGTTTGGCGCCTTTGACGCCGTCATCAGTCGCGGCTGGGAGCTGGGCGGTGAGGGAGTGGTAGACCTGGCGAAGGCTGTCGAGAGGGCCACCAAAGAGGCCAGTCCTGGAAAGTTGACTCTGCTCTACGACAACTCGGAGTCAATCAAGGAGAAGATTGAAAAAGTCGCAAAGAATATTTATAGAGCTGGATCGGTAGAATACTCGGAGTTGGCGGAGAAACGAATCAAGGTGAGTGGACAAAACAAATACAGAAAAGTTTCTCCAAATATAAAACTTTGTTTTGCAGTTGTACGAGCAAATGGGCTATGGCTCGCTGCCTGTATGCATTGCCAAGACACAGCTCTCCATTTCGCATGATGCCAGCTTAAAAGGCAAGTTTAACTTTAATATCGCCAGTTTAATTAAAGTTCATCTTTTGTAGGAGCACCATCCGGCTATGTTTTTCCCATTGTTGACATAAAACCCTCTGTTGGGGCTGGATTCCTTTATCCACTTGCGGGAGAGGTAATTGTTGAGTTAAAAAACAAAAAGGATTTGAGCCTAACACATTAATTCTAGATCCAAACGATGCCTGGACTAGCCACTCGACCAGCATTTTATGATATTGACATTGATACAGAAACCGGATTTATTGAAGGCCTTTTTTAATATTTACTAAGCAAACTTTTTACAGTTATTAAATGCAATTTATTTAAAATATGTAAAGTAGCATAAGGGTCGTTTCTTGAGACCGAGTTAAATTTTCTTTAAACAGATGAGAAGATTATAATGAGGCTTCAATTAAAAGACAACTTGGACAGCAAAGTAAAACTCAAACTCAGACTGCAGATAACTTGCTGCGGTTGTGCTTGGCTTGATTTTCCTCCAAATAATCAGTGTTGCTCTCATCATCACTTGAAAGGACATACAATAGGTTTGTGCTAGTAGGAAAGTTGGCTTCATTATCTGAATCATCGCTCGAATCATCTGTTGATGGCATCAAAAGTGTGCTTTTTGCATCAATATTGTGAATTGGTTCGTTCTGAGACTTCTGAGCCAAAACAGCCGTTGCTTCCTGAAGCCACTCCTTTGGGGGTCGTCCAAATGACTTTACGAGATCTTCATTCTCCGTCATTTTCTTATGATCAGCAACGTTTTCCTCTTTTAGCGAGCTTTGCAACTCTTTCACAAAACCGGCAAACATTTCATCCACTTGAAGGCACATCATCTCCTTGAACCGTTCTTTAGCTTGCTCTAAACGGCTGAAGACATTTTCAAACACTTTGGAAGACATTTTGCAAAGTTTTAGGAATCAATCTTGACCAAGTTACAAGTGAATTACCAAAATACAAGGGTTTATCTGATGTTAACAGCAAATCACCAATAATGACTTTTCGCAGAAGACGTTATTTATTCAAAAAGCAAATGGTCAGTTTCGATATTGATAGTAAGGGGCAAACCTAAGAGTTTAAACCTAAGTCGTCATTATTCTGAAATTCAGCCCTCTAGTGGCATTTTGCATGAAAATATTTTTCTTTAAGATATTCTATTTAGTTTGACAATAAAATAGTAAAACGGCTTCACATTTGTTAAAGTGCTTTTAACAAACAAACTTTATTGTGTTGCCAAATCAGATTGTAACAAAAATGTCTTTTTGTCTACTCGCATGGATACTTAACTCATACATACTGAGACTTATGTAATAGAAATGCCCTAACTTTCATTATTATTATCAGCAACTAAACAATTGAAGTGTCCTTGGTGCATATCAACAGACTGCTTGTGTTTGTTTGCTTCAACCATTAAAAAGGCAAGGTAGGCAACACTAGGCAAATAGCACTTGTCGTTGTAAAGTCGACCAAAATATAAAAGTAATCATTTTTAGACTTGGCGTATTTAAAAAAATAATGTCTGCTACCACAAAGTACGATTTTACTGGCCGAGTTGCTCTCATTACCGGTTTGTTAACATTTTTGTTTGTGTTATTTTTTAAATTTTTGTTCTCTGAAAATAGGTTCCAGTTCTGGAATTGGGGCAGCAATTGCTATTCAATTTGCCTCTTATGGAGCACAAGTGGCAATAACTGGACGCGAAGTTGCAAACCTGGAGAAAGTAGCTCAGGAAATCGAAAAAGTGTCAGGCAAAAAACCATTGCAGATTATTGGCGACCTTCTTGATCATTCAGTAGCAAAGAAGCTAATTGATGAAACTATTGCCAAATTTGGCAGACTAGACGTGCTTGTCAACAATGCAGGGGGCGGCCATCCTAGTGATGCAATTGATAAGCCAAATGTGATGGATGCATATGATAAGATAATGGACCTCAATGTTCGCTCGGTTCTGCAACTTACTTTGTTGGCTGTTCCTCATTTGGAAAAGGTCAAGGGAAATGTTATCAACATTTCATCAGGTGAGTGGTCATGTGATTAAAAATTTAACTTCTGTTATAAGTTGACTTTTAAATACACTTTTTAGTTGCCGCCATACAGCCCATGTCTCTTGTTTATTCAACAAGCAAGGCTGCATTGGATATGCTCACTCGCGCCTGTGCTTCTCAACTGGCTCCAAAAAAGATCCGAGTTAACTCAATTAATCCAGGTTTGTGTATTTGATTTTTGTTGCTAAAACGTCACTTATAAAGTTTTACTACTTTAGGTCCAGTGAAAACGGCGATTTTTCGTTCAATGGGCATAACCAGTTTTCCTGAAGAACAAATTTTAGAGATGATAAAAAAACATTGCCCTCTGGGTGAAATTGCACAACCTGAAGAAATGGCTCACTTGGCTTCATTTTTAGCTAGTGATCTAGCGGCAAATATGACTGGCAGCATTGTTGTTTCTGATGGTGGAATGCTTATTAGAAACAGTATGAATGCCTAAATGCCATTTGTTGATAACATTTTTGTATTTTAAATGTTTTAAATACAATTGTTTGACCTTCAATTTAAAAACAAACAGCATTTTTTGTTTAAAAGCTGATTACATTATTAAAAACCTGTTTATTTAAAATAGACTGAACTAGTGTTACTAAGTGTGCTAATCAGTGCAAAAAATAATCAATTTTATTATATCATTTGATAGTGTCGGTAGAGGTTCATTTCAGTGTTCAATGTGCCTTTGATTTAGCATAAGAACAGTTATTTTATTGTAAAAACATTTTATTTGTTTTAAACATGACTACTTTGGAAGAAAAGAAGAAGATTATTCTTAACTTTGAAGGACCAGTTGCTGCAGTTGTCACTCCCTTTGACAATGAGGGGTATGTAAAATAAAGACGAACACATTTTCAATACAACATTTTACAAATTTAAATTTTTTAGAAAGCTAGACACAACACAAATTTTACCTTACGCCAAGCACCTGATTAAAATTGGCATCAAGGGTGTGTTCATTTCAGGCACAACAGGAGAAGGATTTTTGTTGTCAGTAAATGAACGGCTATCTTTAATTCAAGCCTGGCGTCAAGCGTTGGATCAGTTGAAGGACACCCAGCAACTGCTAGCCATTGTCAATGTCAGTTCCACTGTGGTGGGTGACGTCGAGAGTTTGGCTTCCAAAGTAGAAAGTTTAGGTTTTGATGGTGTCGCTTTACTGCCGCCCATTTACTACACAGTCAGTACGCGTGAACAATTGGTTGGATACTTGAAGCCTATTCTACAAAAGGCCGCACCTGAAACACCATTTCTCTACTATCATATTCCTTCACTTTCAGGCGAGCTCAAATGTACGTTTATCTAAAACTAAAGAGTCACCATCATAATTACTAATTCAACGTTTAATCATTTAGTCGAACTAGACAGTTTTGTTGACCTAGCTTTGCAGAAGATTCCGCAGTTTGTGGCGATGAAATTTAGCGACAATAATCTAGTTCGATTTGGTGCTGTCCAAGAACAGTTTGGTAAACGGATCAAAGTTTTTCCCGGATTCAACGAGGTAAACTACTTAGCAAAATGATGACAAATTGTTTAAATGTTATGTTACATTTTTCTAATAGATTTTATTGCCAACTAAAGCGTTTGGCATAAAAGCGGTGATTTGTGCTACATTTAGCTTTGAAGACTGTGTGTCCTGGTACTTGGCAATGGGAAAATCTTACGAGTCTGGTGATTTAGAAGGTGCTGTAAAATTTCAAAAAGCAATTGCAGATAAATGTGTACAACTGAGAAAAAGCGGAAGTTTCATTACCTCTATCAAATCGGGACTTAATATAGACTTGAAAAAAGATGGCATTTCTCTAGGACAACCTCGAGCACCTGTTTATGTTCCTGAAAACTAGTTTTGTTATTGAAATTATTGTTATGATCAATTTTTTCCTTTTTCAATGATATTATTTGTAGTACTTTAATAAAAGCTAGATATTTACATTTAAAAGTATAATTTCTTTACAACAACTTGAATGACGAAATATTGGTGCAAAAATTAGCAACTGTCGACTAAAAATGAACGTTTGAGCACCCCAGTGACCCTGACTTGGGCTGTAACGGTGTGTCACTTTTCTCCCGATTACAATATCACAATATCACCTTTAAAGATGATGCCACCAGGCAATTTAAGCATATGCACTGTTTTTAGCGGTGCACTGCACTTTCATTTATCACTGGGTGAAATGAGTGCCTTTCCATCACGCCGTCACTGCTTCTGCAGCTGCAACCGGCATCCTTCGAAGCACTATACAGGGTGAGTCAAAAGTTCTGTCAGTACTTTTTCTAAGACCAAT